GGATTAAGAGCCTGATGCATATATTCGGCAGATAATGCAGACGCTACACGCACGCTGGTCATAAACAACGGTTAATTTTCATTTCTCACGTGAGTATTCGGAAAGGAAAATTGATTATTTCCCTCTGATCCTGTGTGTCAGTTCATTCTTCTTACCCTGTCCGTTGTAATACTCGCGACGACGGTCATTACCCAACTCGTGCTCGTCGATTACTATGGAAGGGGAACTCCAGAAATGTTCATCGCTGGAGTGCGGACTTCATGCATTTTAAGCATCGAAATGAATGATTGAAATATTAAATTGTGAAGACATTAGAAGAATTAAATGATTTGCTACACTATTTTCAAGTTAAGAGAGTTATTGTGAGAAACAATTTATTTTTATTTTATTGCTGCTTATTGCAATCGATCTAGAACACTTTTATTTTGCAGAAAGATCCGCAGTCTGTTCATCAATTATTTTATGCTTGTGCAATCATTATGAAATTGGCGAGTAAGAAAGGATTTTGTAGGAACTAATGTAATTCCTTTAAATTTAAAAAAAAATTTAGCTCCTAATTTTCTATTAAAAATTATTGACAAAATATAACATAGAAAACGTTCTCACAATTCTTTCAATTGAATTGCATAAAATTGCGGAAAATATTATTGCAGTGGAGTAAGCTGATTGAAAATATTTTTTTATCATTAAAAAGGTGAGCTGAAGTAGTTTAAATAACTTCTTGATCAATCTTCTAAATTTTTGACAAAGAAGTTGTTAAAATTATAGACAAAATATAACATAGAAAATGTCGCGTTACAAAATATCTCTGAAATTAAGAAGTAGGGTTTAATGCAGCTTCAATGACTTCTTGATGAGTGTGCTTAATTTTCTACTAAATTCTTTTGCTAAATTAATGCATAAAATATAGCTTACATAAAGCTATATTTACGTGAAGCTTACATATAGCTTAAATGACTATTTGATCTACATTCATACTTTTCTATTAAATAATGACTAGAAGAGTGCCACCAAAATTGAGAAGGGTGAATAATCTTTTGTTGAATTTCTTAATTTTTCTCTTAAAAGTGCCACCAAAATTATAAAGGGAGGAGGGTAAGGTAGCTTGAATAACCTTTTGCTCAACAAAATTATTTCTCTAAAATGTAAGATACAAATTTTATTAAATCAATTACAAGCTACGAAATATTATTTAATGGACATTTACTAAAGAAGTGTCCTCAAAGTTAAAACATGTAGGGAGGAGTTTAAAATAGCTTGAATGATCTTTTGTCAACACTCTAAATTTCTTGTTGAACGATTTCGCTAAAATACAGCATGCAAAATTTTGTCTCAATTTTTCCAGATTAATTAAAAACCAGAAAATATTACATAAGTGAAATCGACGGAAAAAATAACTCTCAAAAAATAAAAAAATGTCGTGACAATTGGGTGCTAAGGTTTCATTACAGTTTCAAGTGTGGGAACATTAATTCTAGACTCAACGAAGTGTGTGGAGAGGAGTCATTGGCAGAATTTTGTTCATTAAAGGTTACTACGCTACTGAGGTCTGCTGGAAACGGTAGTAGGTTATTCTGCAGGCAGTCTGGGCCAGTGAGGAATTGAGAAGGAGCGGCGCAAAGGGAGTGACTCGAGCACTGACCAGTTGCTTATATAGCCACTGGAAATTAGCATAAAGTTACACGCGAGGCTAACGTTCAGAAACACGATAAGAGTGTACGTGCCCTGTTTCCTTGCCTTCTTACCTCCCAACCTACTCCCTAGAGTGCGTATTGCTTCGATCATTGTTCCGACTAGCTCATTTTCTGTCTCGTGGAACGCGGATACCTAAAATGGACTCCGATTAATAAGGCTTTCGTCATGCATACATGAATATGGTTGCAATTTTTAATTTTTACGGACACATAACGTACACTGCAGAATACTATGCATCTCGTTTCATTCCAATAGATTTAATGCTTCACGAGTGACTCCCTGCTTAAATTGCCATGACTTGCAAGATGTTCGAAAAACTATGTCACAATAAAAATTGATATGTTACATGCAGTAAATTAATTGAGAATTTACAGGCTCTGCACTCGAAATTAATCGTTTTGTAGATCATGCTCACCCTTTTGCATCTAATTACAGATTCAATTATTTGTAATAAAATTATCTGTAATAAATATCTATAACAAAATATTTGTAATAAAAGACGACCAATTCTCATCAGTGGAGGAGTTAATTTTATTTGCAGAAAGGGGTGAATTTAATTTGCAGAAGTATTAATAAAGTTTGCAAAAGAGTTACTTCGTTTTGCAAAAAGGTCAATGATCTACGTAAAGATCAATTTAAAGTGCAAGGAGATTGTAAATATGATCTAAAAGAGGATGAATTTCTAGTGCAAAACCTGTATATAATGGAATAATGAAAGGGGTAGAGGTTTCTGTACTGTAATTAAAAAATGAATGCATATTTAAGATTAAAAACAGAATGCGTACATAAAATTAAAAAGTGAATGCATAATTAAAATCAAAAACTGAATGTATACTTAAAATTAAAACATTATTATTGTTATTATTATTAATTTTAATAATAATTACTAATTACTAATTTATTATTAATGCATATATTTAAAATTAATAACTAAATGCACATTCAAAATTAAAGAATGTAAACTATGAAGTGAATATAAAGGAATTGCTAGTGAAACGACTGTAGTTTAGATTAATTTTCCATGGTCTTTTGCATGACCATAACAGTATTTTTAGAAGCTGACCTACTATTTACCAAAGGCTTCCGTACTGTGGCAGTTAAGTCAGTTTAGTTATGCCCGAGAGAAGTACCGAATTTATGTGATTTTTACAGGAAATCATTGCGGAATTATAGTTAAGGGGAGAACTGGCATAAAACTCCGACGACAATATCCTACGAGGGTGAAAGGGGCTTGAATGTGTGATTAACCTATTGAGGTCACCTGTACGTTCGGCTCATTTACATTTAAACAATGGATTCTTCTTTCAGTAGCATTTCGTGCTGAGATCTTATCTCGATGGGTTGTCCACCTAGTGATCGTTCTTTTTGATAGCGATCCTACGAGGAGCACTAAACTTCCTGTACAAACCAGATTGAACGAACTCCTAATAAAAAAAAAGTTAATTGCGTCTTAATTAATTTTGTACTGTTAATTGTAATTTTATTTTGTACTTTAATATCATTTTATACTTTCAAATTTTTACAGCCACTTCGGTGATTATATTTTTAACTGTCATCGAACTGACATCGCAGTTCGATCATTAATACTCTAATTATCAAAATGATGATAAATTAAATATTTTTACACATATACTGAAGAAATAAAAAATTCGATGTGTTGTAGATTTCTTTATGATTATTATTTATATTGAGTGGATGAAAACCGTAGTCTTTTATTTCAAGATTAATTTTAAAGTATATCACCTACTGTGGACAGACTTCCCAGAGACTTATTTATTTAATAAACAATCTGTAACTTGTAAACAATACTGCACTTTAGTATCATTCCTTGTATGGTGTATTCCCTACCTTATCAACTTCTCAATCAGCTTGCTATGTTCTTACGTAGATGTCGCATTCCCTAATTAAGTCGATACTAATTATTAGACTGCGGATTTTATGCGTTTACGATAAAAATAAATATTTCTAATGTGGAACAGTAGAAAGATTTAAAATATTTAATAATGTCAATATATTACTTTCGACCTACTAAAATTGTTAAGCAAAGAATGCAAGTTTTATGTTACCCCTATTTTCTGCAACAGAGGCGAACAATTCGTATTTTGCATAAACATCCGCTATCTATTGATTACTTAAGCACTGTAATATTTATTAGTAGTCACAGATTACTCTGGACCATAACCAATAATTTCTTAATTCAATTTGAAGCTATACAGTACCTATACATAAACTATTGTTATTGTTATGGGGAGAGTTCATTATTATCGTCTTAATTTTATTTCTCAGAAAATGTACAAACTTGTACAAAACTTTTCAACAAGGAATGTGAACGTGCAGAGATCATCGGTGTGTATCCTTTACATGTTAAACGAAGTCAGGTTTTTACGTATTTTTAACAACTAGATTCGTTGAGATAATTGCCTGCTTTGCGTTCCGTAGAGGTTGCAGGTAATAATGTCTTGACAATAAATATCATTTATTGGTGTCGCAGTTAAAATTATCGTAAAAATAAATATTAAATATTTCTACCATTTTGTACGAGGTATGACTATGTACACGAACACTTCGGAATTTACAGTATCCTCGCAGGCTTCACAGCCGAAAGGATCATGTCAGTTCAGCATTACTGTCGTTGTTCAATTAAAGCTCCGTTGTCTCGATCTTCTTGCCAAGAGGGTTGACAATGGTGTTGTGTGCTCGATGCAACGACGAAGTGTGGTGGAAGTTGTTCGGAATATTCGCGACACTTTCTAAGCTAGAAGGTCAAACGTTGATTTATTATTAACTACGACGACGAGTCTCTCATTTTCCGGAAATAACTTAATTTTGCAACACCCTGTATATTCTTATTCGTGAGAAGATCGTGAGTCTGTATGCAAAATGAAAATTTTCTGCTTTAATCGCAAACAGAAAAAACAATAATACAAAATATGATTAATACTGTAATTAGAACGTTAAAATATTTTAATGAATCAATATATTTCTTAGTAATTGTGATTAGACTGCGGCTCTTAATTGTTCTTACAAATTGAAAACATCTGATATAATTTTATTTTACTTTTTGCAGTAAGTAATTGTTTACTCGACCAAGGAAACTTTTCCTCAATTTTTGTGAATGTTGTATGAAAACGAGAATTTGCATAAAGATCCATGGTCTAATTATAATACTTTCAAAATAATCTGATAATACCCCTTTTCACCAATATTTTATTTTTTTCCAGTTGCATTTGATCAATTTACACTGCATCTTGTCAGTTTTGTAATCAAATAAACTTCACAGTTTATTTATTATTTGGTGTAATTACCTCGAAATGGAAGACACTCTTGGCTCGATGTAATACGGTTTGTCTTCGCTTCTTTGGTTCGTGTTCACTTCGTTCATCATCTCTTCGTTGTTCAGTGCATTCTCATCAAGAGAGTCCCGTTCAGAAGTGTGACTAATGGACTCGTCGCTTTTAAACCATTCGTTCTCATAAGCGTGCATCCATATTGGGTTCGAACCTTCCACGCTGTGCTTGTTAGTGTTCGGTACTCGTCCGGGACCTCTGATGAACTCTGCGTCCGATGTACCTTCCAAACATTCGTATTTTGACTTTGTTAGTATTTAAATCTTTCCGTACTTCTTTGTATTCAACTTTCGAAAAGTAAAGTTATAGATTGTGCAAGACTATTAAATAATTGTGCTAATTGTGCAAGGGTTCGCTTGTACATTCTTCAATTGCAGATTTGACACAATTTTGAGAAACGTTCATTCTATAATTTTTAATTTCAAGTAACAATTTTTACTGCTGTACCAGTTTGGACTGAAATTTGAATACTGGCAAAACGGAATCGTCAAGAAATAAATATTGAGATAATTAAATCTTGAAGATTGAACATTGTGATGATTAATACTTCACTATTGAATGTTGAGGAAACGGAGTCTTTGAAATAAAATACTGAGAAAATAGAGTATACTTGTAGATTGTTAAGTAAATGCATT